ATGGGACCTATAAATGCCTTGATGTGTTTGACTATATAACGGATTACGATGATGACTGTGATGATCCAACCGATTGTGACATTGATGACGATGATGACCGCGATGATCCAACCGATTGTGACATTGATTACGATGATGACCGCAACGATCCAACCGATTGTGACATTGATTACGATGATGACCGTGACGATCCAACCGATTGTGACATTGATTACGATGATGACCGCGACGATCCAACCGATTGTGACATTGATTACGATGATGACTGTGACGATCCAACCGATTGTGACATTGATTACGATGATGACCGCGACGATCCAACCGATTGTGATATTGATTACGATGATGACCGCGACGATCCAACTGATTGTGACATTGATTACGATGATGATCTTCACAATCCAGTCAACGATCTTCCTGATGCTGATCATCTGGACTATCCAACTGACGCTGATCGTTACGATGATCATTACGACTATGACTTGCCAATCAATGATGACAAAGATTAGGGTGACATTGATGATATACTGTATGGTTTTAAACAGTAAAGGAAACACTCAATAGATGATGACTTTGTGTTTTAGCTTTTCCAATTTTCATTTTTGTGTTTTATGGCKACGTTGTTTGGTTTTGTTTTTATAAACTCCCTTTTCATCCATTCATCTATTTTCTTTACTCACGTCTGCTTTTCGGGTGTAAGGGACCTGKTGTCTAGTTTTTTGATTTGTCACTGTTCACCCTGGACAGGTCCCAAGGTCATCAATACTCAGAGAAACCCATGTGCACAGAGAGAACATGCAAAGTCCAGCTGTGGAGATGCTTTCCTTCAGCAAGTGTTTAAATGTTCTCTATCCAATCTGACTGGGCTTTTATTCCAGATTTGCAATGCTGGTAGAGACAAACAACAAATGACTCACAGCTGGAAGTGCAGTAAAAAGTAGCAGAATGCATCCTGCACTTTTTTTAGATTTTATATGTAAAAAAATACTAAAGTGTATATTTTTAAACTAATTTATGTTGGTCTTTTCCATATTTTGTTACATGGTGTATGAATATTTTTTWAAATACTCCTAATCCAGTTTTTGATTGTAGAAAATGAAGAGTTGTTGTTGAGATGTTTAAATTTGAGGTCATCATTTGTAAAATAAAGGAACATATCAACAAAATTGTCCACGTCCTTTCTCACAAGTTCGTCCATACATAATCTTTCACCCTCTTCTTCTTTTCAGGGTTATGGGGGTCAGTGGTCCAGCAGCCACTGTTTGAGGGGCGGGGTTTACCCTGGACAGGTCACAAGTCCACCACAGGGACACAGACAAACAACCATTCACTCTCACACCAAGGGATAGTTTAAAAGTTACCAATCATCCTAATATTTGTGTTTTTGTTCTGTGGGAAGAAATCAAAATGTCCAAAGAAAACCCATGCATGRAGAGAAAAGCAAACTCTAAAAGAAAAGTTCCTGGATGGGATTTGATCCTACAGCCTTACTGAGGGTCAACAGCTCTACAAACTGAGCCACGGTTTCACACTTACAAGTTCAAACTGACATTTCTGTAAAGGACAGTGTTCTTTGTTCCTGCCAGCTCTAGAAAGACTGGTGAGGACCAAAGCTGATCTGGAAATCTGACACTTGGGGGAAATATTTAGATTGCTCCATTTATTTGTACTACCCACACAGCAGACAGGTGTGGGCCAGCTCTGACAATGATGGCAGTTTTTAAGATAGCATGCCACAACTGTCCTAGTTGTGGTTTGGTTTATGTGGTTTCAGCCCATGTGTGGACCACCTCTGGCAAACCACATTTGGACCACCAAAGTGATGTTATTCTTTGCAGTATATGGGCCGAGAGTTTGTGTCTTGTGTGGGTCAGAAAAGTTTTGCTAAATGGCTATGAATGATTTAAATATGACACAAGAAAAACATGAACATTTAGGAAACCAATATTAGATTTAGTCGTATGAAACACATCAGTAGCACTGTTKACACCAGAGAACTGGCAGCCTGCTGGCCAGGTGACTTCCTAAAATGTCCATCTTACTAAGTTTTAAAATCTTAAATCCAGACAAAAAGTCTTTTTGATCTTGTTTTGAGACTGATTTACTAAACAAGAACTGATTGTGTAAGAATAATAATCTTGTTTTCAGAATGTGTCAGAT